TGCTCATTTCCCTGTCTTATCAGAAATACCTGATGGTCTGTGAAGTATAGCAAACTGTCTCCCACTCACCATTTTCAACTGAATTTCATCATGCACTTGCAAGATACTAGATGGGACTTGAATAGTCAGCATTTCACAACAGTGGAGGAGGGAAAAAAAGCCTCAACTACACAGAACTCAGGTGCATATACACGTACAAAACCCTGTTTTCCTGAAATTTCAATTCAATTCACTGAATTAGGAGGTCCAATAAGAATCTGAAATTTCTTATACTTACCTGATCAAGGTCTTCAAACCCCTGCCACACATCACAATTTTTGTCATCAAATAAATTCAAATAAAGCAGTGACTGATTTGGTCTACTGTTTTTGAAGGCCTATCAAAATTATTTCTTGATTGCAAAACAGGTATAAATTATAGCTGGTAAACACTTGAGAGTGCTGATTTATTGGTTCATTGGTGTCTGAAACACGGCCCAAAGGCTTCTCTTGCAAACCTTTAGAGTGCAACTACTATTTATTAATGATTATTGCACTCTTTTGTAAGTGGGAAAAAGATCAAGCATTCGATTCAGCTGACTATACTTATATCTACTAAACCAAGAACAAGCACTGCAGCTGGTCCACTACTGCCATATAGGAAGGGTTTGGCGTAAATTAATTCACTTCTGACAAATATATTCCTCCTAGTTCTATCCACAGAAGTGCCCGAACATCTTCCATTTACTTTCTAAGTTACCATCAAATCCTGTTTGACCTGAACTACTAAATCCCTTTCTAGTTACTGCTCCTCCCAGGTCCTTCAAAGCTTGTTCTGTATAATAACAAGGCTTAGTATTACAGAAAGGGGAAAAAATAACCCTATACACTTTTTCCAAGTGATTCTCCATGCCCAAACTCTCACAAGGTCTCATTTTACCAGAGAAATGTATACTTGCAAAGAAAACAACAGAATTAACCTTAGAGGATAGTACAGATCTACATTCCCTCCTCACATTCAACATAGAGACACTTGTGATAAACAGGCTTTCTGTAGGGAAGGCATTGTATCATTTTCCAGTTGCAGTGCAATCATACACTTGAAACATTATTTTTGTTTTATCAGATGCTTCTCTGTTTGAAATGACAAGAAGGTAATGATTATTACTTTCTCCAGTCCCAAATGTGGCCTTTGTCCCAGCAGGAGGCAAAGGGGACAGACAGTGTCCCACTTTCCCAGACACTTTACATCCATGTGCAAATCGTATCACAGTTACTTAATTTTCCTGAAATATACAGGAACATATTTTCTACATTCACTGCTAGGTGTCTGACAGTAATAAATGAAGGCTACTATTCGGACAAACTTGTCATCATTATTTCTAGATGCTAATGCCTTCCACTAAATATTCCTACAGTACTGCCAGTATAAACACTAAAGAAACAGCCAGAGCAGGCATCATTATCACTCATGTTTCACAGTGATGCCATGTGAATATAGTGTTTGCCAGCAGAGCAAACACTGCCCTCCCACAAACCCTCCTCTCCCATCCTTTACAGAATTCCTGTGCTTTTACATCAGCTGATAAAATAACTTTTAATGATCTACATTGGCATATGCAGGCACACAGTACCTTTTGAGCCTGCATTTTTGGCAATACATCCTAAAATTTATCAACAGCCAAGGCTTTGATTCATAAACCATAAGATCACAAATAACCAGACAGATACTTTCCACTTTTAATCCAGTATCTCATCTAATCTGCACATAGAACAGTTCAAAGAATATGTCTTGCCCACTTCCCTTAGCAAAACAGACAATGGCAAACTACCAAGACTGGTTAAATATTTCTGCTGCCTGCCCTAACATTCTCCACCTTTAGTTTTGGGACTGGCAGTAGCTCAGTAACTCAGAATTTTATGATTTATAAGAAATACACAGTAAACATAAATGCAGAAGAATTTTATAATTTATGAAGAAATACACAGTAAACATAAAGGAAGAATAATAAGCATATAGGGATGTTGTTTTTTTCTTCTTAAACCTGAATGAAGTAATTCTGTAAAACACATTTTGCATGCAGCAAAAATACACTTTTTATGCATAAATGATATTCACTTTTCACCATGTATTTTACTAGTAGGAAGAATCCTGCCATGTAACAGAAAACAAACCCTTTCCTAAGGAAAACTAACATATGCACTATTTTTAAGTCATGTAAAGAATACCAGAGCAGAAAAATTATTCAAAGAGAAGACTTTCTCTGGCAGAGAACTGACCAGACAGTAAGTTAAATCTACTGATGATCTTAAAAATTCTCCAATTATGGGTGCATGTCTGAGCTTTGCCCACAATGTTTACATGACCTCCAATGAACATCCTGAACTACAGCCAATATTCACTAGAACCAACTACTGTGTAAACAACTGTGAAAAAATGTACAGGAAAAGCTTTGCAAGTTTGTAGCCTGCAACTGCATACAGTGGGAACTGATGGAGCTTTTGCAATAGAAATAGTGCCCCAAATCAGTTCTCCACACAGAGAAAGTTTCCAGTGATAAAGGACACATGTAAGGCACACTCTTTTAAAAACCTGACTCCCATGAAGCAGCTTATTGTTCATAAAGGGAATGGTGTTTACACAGGAAAAAGTCTACTTTCAACAAATCTAAAATCCAACAGATGTTTCCTTCTATCTAAGCAAAACAAGTTTGTGACCCATTTCTGCCCAATCAGAAAGCTTCAAAATTATTTCTGCAGGAAAAAAAACCCTCCATACTTGACAGAATGATCTTGGAAAACAAATTCAATAAAACTTGTATTTCAAAATTGCAGCTATTACTTAAGTGAATTAACTTTAAAAAAAATCAGTGTTCTTTAAAGAGAATGTCTTATGATCTGGATTTGAAGAGATACAACATGATAATTTTGGTTTGTGAAAGAGAAAGTAGGGCAGACTGTTAACTCACAAGTGCTCTGCATTGCAATTGCTCTCCTCAAATCAATTTAACCTCCCTTCTTCAAACCTCTTGCAACACCCCTCCAAAGCTCCTGGCTGTTCTTCTTCAAATTCCATAAGACTTCTCCTCCTCTGCAAACAGTAACTAAATAACAGAAGTGGCTGAGCAGAGTATAAAAGTAAATATTTTAATTCTATTTTACATAATCATACAGCAAGCCTAAGCACTGTGCAGAAGTGTAGAAGACAAAGAATTTCAGCTTTTGGCTTTGCCAAAGCTTTGCAGTTACATACACTGTGCTGTTACATACCTTACTTTGACTTACCATCAGGAGAAAGTTCAGGGCTTTCAGGATGTACCTGGTGGCATTAACTATTACAGAGCACAGCTGGATCTGGTGACATCCTGTTGCACAACTGAATGCTGCAAAGACAGCAGCTTCCAAGGAGTTGGTGCACTTTCTGTGCCCAACAATACTGAACTGAGGTGGATCACAGGTTGCTGAGGATTTTATCAATTTTTTTATACCTTTTATGAAAAGTAGCTGCAGAGGTCAAATAAATTACATTAACAGCTAGATACAAACATCAAAGCCAAAGTTAAAATAGTCTTAAACATGACTATGACAAGTGTTATAAGTGCATGTAACCTTCTGTGCCACCTTTACCTCCACGAGTCCCTTCTTCACTGGATTTTCCTCCAGTTATTGCTTGTCCAGATATTTTGTGAGCATTAGACAAGTTCCCACCTCTGTAATGCTTTATTAGCAGCACCTTCAGCATTCAGGTTCCTTACCCCAGCTGAAGCCTCTGCATGCCCTGAGATGAATATAAGAAGGCAGAACAGAAATCTGCCAGCCATGCAATACACCATTATTACACCAAACAAGAATCTCAGCAATGCAAAGGAGACCCACTGAGATACATTTCAAATCTGCCTATCAAACAATTATGCAGAAAGTAGAAGAGGTTTTCTCTCTCCCCCAGTAATCCTATTTGTCCTTTAAATAGATCTTAAGCATAATCTTGAACTGTCAGCATTTTTGTAAAGAAATACCAGCTCAGACCTAATTGGATTTGTCAGACAATCACAGCCCAACAGTTCTCTGAGATCTAACAGCTGTGGGACAACCTTCCACATTATAAGAATTTGAGTTCACTTCAAGAGGGAATATCTCCTCTGAAATTAAGTGATAAAAAGACATAATGTGTTGCATAGAACCCTGTGCCTTAGCAACATCATGATGTGGTGTGGCATAGCTGAGGTTATGTGAGCCACGCCATACAGAAAATTATCTGCAGTTAACTGTCAAACACTTCAGGCTGCTCTAAATGTAGGAAAATGGGTAAAAAAATCATCGAAAACTCTGACTTGAACATGTAACAGCAGTATTTGAAAAGAAAACAAGTATATATTATATCACATATTAAAAAAATAGATAGCAGAATATGTACCTTAGCTGAAAAGCAGAAATACTTCCTATTCCTCTGGACTTTTTGGGTCACCTAAATATATAAACATACACACAAAAACCTGCTCTCTGTGTCATCAGTGTCCTGTTCTGTTCAGGCTTCTGTGGGCTGGAACAATGCATTTTAAAGACAATCTAGGGGATAATGGCCTAAAGGCCACACTATCCTCATCCTTTGAAATGACTGAGACATTGCATGTTCAGGAAGTACAATAAGCCAAATCTTAAAATGCTTAAAATGCCTACAAATTGTGGTTTCCTTAATGAAGACCTGGATTATTTCATACATATCTGGATGCAGAAGAAAAGTTCTTACACAGATTTTATGTTGAAAATTGAAGTGATGTTCATTTTCCTAATTTTAAAATAACAGTCATATAGATTTTAACCTTTGTATTTAGAAGAACATCAACTTAAGTACTCAACAATGTTATTTTGTGTATTTGCAGAGTTGGTAACCAGCATGTATGTGACTGAGGAATACAAGCAAACTTTGCACTGAATTCCAACACATGCTTTGACCTGGGACAAAAGCAAATTAATCTTTTGAGTCTATCATTAATAATAGTCAGGAGTTACACACTCGCCTACCTGTTGGCTTATCCACACCAAGGAATCCAGCCTGTCCCAGGATTTTAAACACTTTATGTGCTGGGAACTGTCCTTCTTCTTCCCACTTATCCACAAAGGGATTAATCTCCTTGTCAATGATCTAGATTTGGAAAACAAATTGTACAAGTTATAAACACAGACATCCTGCACAAAAACTTTTGACTTTCATCTAAAAACTGCAATTCAAGAAGAAAAAGAAAAAACAATATAAATAACAATATAAAAGAGAATATAAAAGAGAAAAGCCCACTAATTTTCTTACTTACTGATGGATATCCTTATTTTCCACTCACCCATAGCTATTACAACAAATGTAATCAGGCAAATGTAAATAATTATTTTAGCAATTACTACTAGAACAGGGCATCAGGGCTAATTTAAGCCTCTCCAAGGTCTATGAAAATGGCTGTTTCCCTCATTATTTGTTACCTTTTTGGGTACAGTTTCTAGAAAGTGACAGGAAAGAAAATCTGGATTTTCCTGAAAAGAAACTTGGCAAAAAAGGTTGATTTGTTCTTGATGACTGTACACAGTACTAAGAAAGTCAAGTAGAAGAGATTCATTTCCTCTCCCTTTGCCTGAAACACTCTCAAGGAAGTTGGTGCTCTTTGGGGCATTTACATCTAGTCTATATTTAGACTTCCCCACAAGTCTGACAGAACATATACTGGAAAAGTAAGACCTTCTGCCAGAATTGATAATATTCCAAATCTAGTCCCTGAGCAACACTTGACTGTGCTACTGCTAATGCTGCACACTTTCCAAAACTCAGTGTCCTAAGCTGCCTGACTGCAGTCCTTACACTGTTCAGGCTGCAGCATTCCCTTCCAGCCTTTGCAAGCCACACACATCTGCAGTACAGCCACGACATTCAGCAACACCGTCAGGTTCCAGGGCACAAGAGCTGGATGTTTCGCTCCACGAAGTCCCAGATTTCCATGGCCATGGGAAAGGAGCAAAGTGGGCAGCCTGCAAGTGTGTTCTTGCTGCCTACCAGCTCATCATGAGGCAGCTGGGTTGTCCCCACCTGTACCCAGCTCTGCAGCCCAAACCAGGCCTTGGCACAGGCTGCTTCTGCCATGGGCACCAGGGCACCACACAGCTCGGTCAGCCTCACGAGGGGATCTGAACAGGAAACATCCTCCCCCAAATAAACCCTACCAAAACAAACACCAGTTCCCATAGAAAGGTAATGCCTTTAACCTGGGACCATGATTTTACTGCTATGCTGTGTCATGAAGAGAGAATTTGTTATTTCAAGAACTTACTCCTCTTAGTCTTCTTTTCCCACTAAATAAACAAGTCCTGTGGTGCTAACTATTTCTTGAGCTGGAAATAGAATCTTCTCCCTCCATGACTGCTGTGTTCTTGAGACCCTACGAAACCTTCTTCCAAACTATGTATTTATAACACATTCTTTGGAGAATTTCAGCCCATATATGGCTGCTTTCTGTCATCCAGTTGGCCACAGAAATAAGCACACTTGAATGCTGGTAGCAGGAAAATCACTTTTTGACTTCTCTCACCACATTCTGAGAAAACCATTACATTCAGTAATTATTATCTCTCTCCCATTGTTATATTGATTAATACAGGCCTAATGATCAAGAGAAAAAAAAATACTTGGCAGAACCCTATCTAGGAGAGCTCACATTTCTCTTCTTTATTACCATATCCCATATGCTCAGATCCTAAGATGCTGACCCTCAGTGTTGAAGGGGGTGAAACACCTTTTTGGCTGTAATAGCCTCTGGCAATGCTCATTGGATAACACCCAGGGGAATACCTGAAAGAGCATACAAAAAGTTAATCCAGTATTTTGATGGATCTTGGCAAAAATATGTGGTGAATATACTAACATATAGTTTTGTTTGTTGTAGCTGGTATTGGGCCAAGTTTTTTGTAGCCTACATACAAAGCCACCTTTGAAGTTAAGCAGATTCTGAATGACTAAACCATGATTTCTGCAGGTTTGCTCCTGTGCCTTTGAGTAAAACTCAAATTGCTTAACAGAACTGACTTATTACCAGGTGAGGTTTGCCACGTTGAGTAAAACAAGATGTTCCTTGCATGACACAACAATTAAACCCCCAAAGGCAACCTCACTGCACAAACCATAAATTGTATATGGCTTTAATTTTTTTTTAATCACAGTCCAGATACCAACAGCCACAGTTTCTTCTTCGCTATTGGACCATTCACTGCCATTTTGCAGGAACATCTTCCCTTGTACAACCTCATAAAAACATAAGCCAAATTCCTGATGAACTACAGTACTCCTCAACTGGCTGGTGTTTCAGCACTGATTACTGGGTATTGTCATCCCTTCCTAGAAAAGCTAATTGAAACAAGGAGAGGTATTTCTAAAGGGCCAAGCCAGCAGTGACTGAATGATCACAAAATTAAACACTTGCTTAAAACCTTGCTGAAGACAGGTCAAACAATGCTTTGTACTTTAACCATCTGATTTGTCCCATCCCTTGGATTTAGCTACTTCCTCACATTTGTGCCCTCAGAAAAATATTTCACACTTGAACTGCAGGCAAATATTATGTAGGCATCTCAACTTAAACCCTAAGGTATCCATGCAGTGTCTGGCAATTACACAGAGGCAAGCTTTCAGCAGTATGTGAGCAGCTGGTCTGCTTCTTTATACATGCTTTATCATGAGAAACATGGAAATCATGGGAGCTAGCATTTAGACTTCCATCACCAGGATACCAACTATAGCAAGATCTAAAACTTCTAACAGTAGAAATATTTAGCACAGCATACTACAGATGTCATCTGACAGATATTCCCAGCCACAAAATAAATCTTTCCACCTGACCTAGCTGGCCAAATCTCAATGGCATTTGGGATGTAAAGTTGATTAAGAAGCCATAAAAGTTTCCCACCTGCTGAAGTACCAGTATACCACAACAAAAACTATTCTTTTCCTGACAGCAAGGGCATAGTAAGTCTTATGTATGGAACTGGTGTTTTTCCCAGGCTACTTCATCTGAACAATAAAGATGCAAACCTAAAGGACTAGGCTCTGGAGGCAGCCTTGGTTTAGCCTGCATCCCAGCAGGAGCTCAGGATGCTCTCTGGGGAGCCTCCAAAATATGGCCTCAGGGCTGTTAACAGCTGTGAATTATTAAAAACACTCTGGATACTTGCCCAGTCGGAAATTAATCAAGCCAACAAACTTACTTCATGATGAATGATAGTAAGAAAAATAAGTGTTTTCATTACAAACTGTCTTGACAAAGTTTTGTGAAAACAGCACCTGTAGCTTCCTGCTCAGGACTGGGGAAATGCTATGGCAGGGTTGGAGAGGGGACAGAAACATAAATTCAGATTTTTTTAGAAATAGGTAATTTTAATTTTTCTTCAGCAAAGAGCAATGAAAATATCCCCCTAAATCACTGCCACAGTTTCGACTATTTTCCACTGAAACTTAGTATGTCATTTAAATGAGAAAAGTAACAAAAATATATGATGCTGATGCTCAGTATTTTGCGCTGATATTGTAGTTGCATCAGCAACTACCCAGAAACATTAGAAATGCCATTTAATTCTGAATTTTAAAATAAATGCATTCTACAACAGTAGAAACTGTACCTGAATTCATTTGGGTACTGAGAGTATGTACAGATGTCCTTTACAGCAATTAAAGATTAGTTTTCATTATTGACCAGCATGTTTATCTTCTATCATGCAATTCAGAAATTAAAAACCACACCAGTTCTACACACAGTGCTTCTTCTAAGTACCCCTTATCAGACTATACACTGTACAGCTTCAGCACACTATTAGCAAGATGATGAATTTTGAAACAATAAACTGAATTCTTAAAAAATTACACAAATTTTTACTACAGTTTCCTGTGAGTTATACCTCAGATGAGATTAGACTCATTTATTAGAGAAGCAAGAAAAATGTCTTAGAAAAAGGTATTTTGTATTAAGAAGATTAAATGGAGTCTGTGGAGCCAGGATTAGATTAGGTCTTAGGAAGAAATTCTTTACTCAGAGGGTGGCAAAACATTGGAACAGGCTGCCAGGAGAAGCTGCGGATGCCTTATCCCTGGAAGTGTTCAAGGTCAGGTTGAAAGGGCCTTGAGAAAGCTGATCTGGTGTCCAGCATCCCTGCCCAGAGCAGGGAGGCTGCAAATACATGATCTTTAAGGTCCTATCCAACCCAAACCATTCTATGATTCTATGATTTTACAACATAACTGTTCCATATTATGTTAGAAGCAGCATTTTTTTCTCTTTTAAATCAAGTTACAGCAACTGAAATTAGCTCTATTGACATAATAACCAAAGATGACACAGTTAATAGGATCATTAATGTAAAAAGTAAATAAACAACAAACCACTAATAACAGTTCTTGCGTGGTTATACCTAGACATTAGCGCAACAATATCTTGAACAGGAGACAATAGACCAGAGATTCCTTCACTTTCTATATCAGCAATAAACAAAGCAAATAATTAACAGCCTTCAAAACAACATTTGTCCTTCAGTTCTAATCAAAACCACAAGGAACAATGACTGCACAGTGAGACAACTCAACATTGTAGCAACACTGTGTTGAGGTCAAGGTAGTACTTTAGAAAGATGTTAAGGGAAAAAAAAAAAAAAAAAGCAAAGCTGAGGTGGGAAAACACATGGGCCATACATTGGTGCTACTAAACCTGGACACTGAAACCCACCCCAGGGGTGCAAGGCAGCCAGGACCACCCCGCTGGCCACACATGCAGCCTGTGCAGGTCTTCTCAGCTCCTGCCCAGGAGGACCTAGGCAAGGTTTTCCATAATGATATGGGGTTGAACTGAAAAAGTTCAATTTAAAAGTAGACATCCATTTCATGACCCTGCGAAAAACACGTGGAAGAAAAAAGACTGAAACTACACATGCAGCCTGTGCAGGTCTTCTCAACTCCCGCCTAGGCAAGGTTTTCCATGATGATATGGGGTTGAACTGAAAAAGTTCCATTTAAAAGTAGACATCCATTTCATGACCCTGCGAAAAACACATGGAAGAAAAAAGTCCTAAGTCCAAAGAGCAGCTGCCCACTTCCTACATGTTGATCTCCTTCTTGGTTCCCCC